TGCTACGTCGAATTAAAGAATATGTATCTACTTCTACATTAATTAAAGTCTATAATGCAATAATTTTGTCCCATTTTGATTATTGCAGCCTTGTTTGGGATGAATGCACGGATTATTTATTAAAAAAACTGCAAAAATTACAAAACAGAGCGGCACGAGTGATTGGCAGTAGTTACGAAATAAGTTCCAAAACATATTAAGTGAACTGGACTGCCTACCCTTGAAAGATCATTTCCGGAACAAGAGAGCAACGTTTGCATACAACATTAAAAATAATATTAAACTGCCACAGTCAATGATTGGTAAATATGAAATGAAAAATAACTCAAATCATAATTTACGGAACAACAATACGGATTTTGTTTTAAAGAAACTAGAAATTAATTTTATGAAGAAAAGCATTACCTATTCTGCCGCTTCATTTTGGAATGATTTGCCAAAATGTGCAAAAGAGAAAGGGATGGTGTAGCAAAATTTAAGTCTATTCTTGACCGTCGCTGAGTATTGTAAATATTTTTAACATAATATAGTAATTGTATAAAATAGTAGTTATATAATAAAATAGTATAGTTGTATAATATAGCAGTAGTTGTGTCTGTATGTAATTTTTGTAACTCCATGTGTTATTGTTCAACGACCTCTTCAAAAACAGATATGTGTAGATTCTGAAGGGTTATCGTTGTAAAATATTTTTAAATAAATAAATAAACTAAATATGTTCGTTTGTTCGTTCGTTCGTTCCCCAGCCCGCTCTCAACCTTGGAATGTGCGCATTGAAGTGAACTATGTGTCTTTCATCAGTAAAATAAATTTAGCTCACTGGTAGTCTAAGAATGTCAACTGGGAATAAAAGTTTTTGTAAAAGTAAGTGTAGTTTTGTGGTTCATCTCTTGGCAGCACAATACTTCGCTCTGCTCTGTTCTGTTCTGTTCTAATACGTCTACAGTTCCGTGATTGCGAAATATTACGGTGTTCAGCAGTTATTTAAGAAAATATCTAAATCTATTCAGTTCTTCTCTGTTGATGTTACATCATTAAGTTATATAACCTACCAACACAATGGGTGCCGTTTCCTTCATAACCCGTCATACATTGACAGGTGTAGGTACCAATCGTATTCATGCAAATTGCATTTACATGACAGTTATCAGTATTGGCCGTACATTCATCGATGTCTATATAAAACATGACAAAAACTGTCAATTACACATGTGCATATACGACAACACCTCCATCGCGAACCAAAGGCAAGATCAACAATATAAACAAAGTCATCTGAAGAGAACAGAAACATCGGCAAAGAACAAAGAATATCAAAACATGATCATCATAAAATAACAACAGCAACAAGAACAACATTAACTCTGTTCATGTTACATCATTAAGCTTTATATAATAACTACAGTGAAACACGCAATTTGATTGGTCAACAGCCGTGCAGGATAAGACAATTCTGCACGGGAAATTCTGAACAGAAATTCTTGCACATAATTTTACAAATATACTCGCATTGTAAGTTTCATTGTGCGATACCTTTCGATTTTGAAGTAAGTTTGCAATTATGGAGACGTTGGTTTAGTTGTATGAATAAATTTTTGGTCGATACATTGCTGTTCAGCAAGTAGCAACGCGTAGCGTTGAAATTCATCAGACCACGGCAAGGAGAACATCTCTCGCTTCAAAGTTCAAACGCTTCGCAATCTTCAAGTATTCAGGTCGAGAATCCTCAAAACTACCTTGGCTCTCTGTTTAGCGGGTTTTCCATTTCAAATTTCGTATAGTTTATCGAAAAAGTCTCTGTATTTTCGCTGTATATTTTCGAGAATTTGCGATCAAATTCTGTTCACATTTGTTGTTGTTTTCAATAACATGCATAGAGTAGCGATTCTCCGATTGGTTAATTCACGATTCTTGTGAGAACGTACTGCACATTTTATTAGTAATTTTAATCAAGTTAACCGTCGCTTCAATGTAGTAATTTTATATAACAATTACCAAATGGTTTTCCCGTGCAGGATAGCATGATCCATGCACTTGGGATGTTGCTCGACTTTCGGAAAGCGTAAAAATACACTCGCTTACGGCTCGTGTATTTTCACGCTTCCCGAAAGTCTTGCATCATCCCTCGTGACTCTGCACGAATTGTTTTTTCAAACCTCTCTGGCGCACGATTTTTTTTTCTGTTTCCCTTGCTCGATTTTTATTTTTGATTTTGCCCACCCCCCTCCCCCCATCACTTTTCTAATGGTCCGCCCCTTAAAATAACTTACCAGCACAATGGGTACCATTCCCTTCATAACCCGTCATACATTGACAGATGTAGGTACCAATCGTATTCATGCAAATTGCATTTACATGACAGCTATCAGTATTCGTCGTACATTCATCGATGTCTATATAAAACATGAAAAAAACTGTTAACTACACACGTGGATATACTGCAGAAAATGGTACAGTATATATACCATAAGGTAAATTTGCCGCTTCAAATTAACAACGTTAAAAGTTGTGACTTCTTTTGTAAATTCAGACACGGAATGTAGTCACAAAACTAGTTTGTTTGTATTTTCGTTCGTGTGTTCATTCGTTCGTTTGTTCGCCCGCCCGCTCTCGACCTTTGAATGAGCAGATTGAAGGGAACTCTATGCCTTTTATCAGTAAAATAAATTAAGTTCCCTGGTAGTCTAAGAATGTCTCTTAAAAATAATAGTTTTTGTAAAAGTAAATGAAGTTTCGTGTTTCAGCCCTTGCCAGCACAATACTTCGTTCTGTCCTGTTCTAATACGTCTATAGTTCTGTGATTGTGAAATATTACAGTATTTAGCCATCATTTAACAAAATATCTAGATCTAATGTGTTGTTTTCTGTTCATGTTACATCATTAAGTTATATAACTTACCAACACAATGGGTGCCATTCCCTTCATAACCTATCATACATTGACAGGAGTAGCTACCAATCGTATTCGTGCAAATTGCATTTACATGACAGTTATCAGTATTGGTCGTACATTCATCGATGTCTATATAAAACATGACAAAAACTGTTAACTACACACGTGGATATACTGCAGAAAATGGTACAGTATATATACCATAAGGTAAATTTGCCGCTTCAAATTAACAACGTTAAAAGTTGTGACTTCTTTTGTAAATTCAGACACGGAATGTAGTCACAAAACTAGTTTGTTTGTATTTTCGTTCGTGTGTTCATTCGTTCGTTTGTTCGCCCGCCCGCTCTCGACCTTTGAATGAGCAGATTGAAGGGAACTCTATGCCTTTTATCAGTAAAATAAATTAAGTTCCCTGGTAGTCTAAGAATGTCTCTTAAAAATAATAGTTTTTGTAAAAGTAAATGAAGTTTCGTGTTTCAGCCCTTGCCAGCACAATACTTCGTTCTGTCCTGTTCTAATACGTCTATAGTTCTGTGATTGTGAAATATTACGGCATTTAGCCATCTTTTAACAAAATATCTAGATCTAATGTGTTGTTTTCTGTTCATGTTACATCATTAAGTTATATAACTTACCAACACAATGGGTGCCATTCCCTTCATAACCTATCATACATTGACAGGAGTAGCTACCAATCGTATTCGTGCAAATTGCATTTACATGACAGCTATCAGTATTGGTCGTACATTCATCGATGTCTATATAAAACATGACAAAAACTGTTAACTGTACATGTGGATATACTGCAGAAAATGGTATATATACCATAAAGTAAATTTCCCGCTTCAAATTAACAACGTTAAAAGTTGTGACTTCTATTGTAAATTCAGGCACGGAATGTAGTCACAGAATTTGTTTATTTGTATTTTCGTTCGTGTGTTCATTCATTCCTTCGTTTGTTCGCCCGCCCGCTCTCAACCTTTGAATGAGCAGATTGAAGGGAACTCTGTGCCTTTTATCAGTAAAATAAATTAAGTTCGCTGGTAGTCTAAGAAAGTCTGTTAAAAACAAAAGTTTTTGTAAAATTAGATGTAGTTTTGTGTTTCAGGCCTTGCCTGCACAATACTTCGTTCTGTTCTGTTCTAATATGTCTATTAAAGTTCTGTGATCGTGAAATATTACAGTATTTAGCCATCACTTAAACAACTATCTAGATCTATTGTGTTCTTTTCTGTTCATGTTACATCATTACCTCCGCCAGGAGGTTATGTAATCTTCTGGGTTTGTATGTGTGTGTGTATGTGTGTGTGTGTGTGTGTGTGTGTGTGTGTGTGTGTGTGTGTGTGTGTGTGTGTGTGTGTATGTGTGTATGTATGCATGTAAAGCTATATATTATGACGCTAGCCTTGTCAAGAGCAATAGTTCATTTCCACAAGGGGTGTCACTAGCACAAGTATAGTTAGTTCCAAAGATTTATAACTTTTTAAAAGAGCTTTTAAAAAATATTCAGTTAAATTGGTGTGATTCGGTCGTATATTAAGAACTATAGTTGTTTCTATCTAACCATGAAATTAATTTACAAAGGTTTTGAACGAGTAAATTCATTGCGCTTCCTTAGCTGTGGGCGAAAGATTATTCCAAAGCTTACCGCCACTGTACTTAAAGCTTTTTCAAGAAACTTGCGTCTCGGTTTAGGAAGGGCCAAATCAGTGTGAGAATTTCTGAGTCATAATTAGTTTCTAAAGAATTCCTCCTCGTCAATAACACTTTCAAATTTGGTGCACCAAAGTCGTTGAGAATTTTATAAAATAATGTAATCCTGCTCATACCTCGTCGACTGGAATCTAAGTTTTCCCATTTTTTTTCCCCATTTCCCGTTTAATATTTTCATTCATTTATTTTATTGTTCTTTACTGACCTACGCAATACGTTCCATTGCCTGTGTAACCAGTGTTGCAAGTGCATAGGTATGATCCTGGTGTATTAGTACATGTTGCGTTAGCGTGACACATGTTTGCTTGTGAACATTCGTCGATGTCTGAAAAAGAAGAATGAATTCAATTTTCCAAAACAATAAGCATGATCAGAAATTAAGAGGACTTTCCTCACTGCCAAACGGAACATGCCCCAACATATTTGTGGGTTAAGTGTCTCTGAGAAAATGATGAAAAAAACCCAATGAACTTTACCCCCAACATATTCAAATATATCAAGTAATTAGGAAAGGGCTAAATCATTAGTAATTTAGGAATTGATAATGCCTTGTGGCAGTAACCTTTGTCCAAATCGGTTACAGAGGGTAAGAAATCGAAAAGATGTTTTTTACATCTCCAAAATATTTTACGAAATTGAAATTCGCAAGATATACTGAAAAACAGGAA